TTAGAAGCTCTACTTTTAACAATTAGACTCTGATGCCTACAATTCTACTAATGAAGATAAAATAATCTTCTATTACACTTAACACATGTAAACTACAATTTAACTGAAGTATGCTATAAGCGGAGATTGGGTGAGGTTGCCAATACCAATCCTTTGGTATCAGGAAATCTCCACTTCCTGCAGGAGACCTGTTGCATTGTATATTCATGTGAGCATCTAACATATGAAAGATATTAGTAACTTTCATATACATAAAAACAGATGTCTTTTATATTTTCAATATAAATTCTTGTATAGTCCTCAGAGGTAGATGCACCTCTCTTTGGAGATTACTGCTGTAGAATCTGAATGTATATGGAGGAGGAGCTAAAAATATTTGCTTGTATCTACTGCCCAGGTTGGAAGTTCTGTTATGTATAAATGTATAAGATGTGTTCCCTCTGGGCATGTGGATATACGTATTTTTATTTATTGAAATCATGTCAGGCTAAAATCTATTGGCATAAATAAGTTAGTACTGTGTTAACAATATAATTTGAGCTCTATCATAAATGTGTCACAGAAAACTTTCTAAAGATTTTCACAAGGATAATGTGAAGCATTAAAATTAATTTATTGGTTTACTCTTCTCTACTTCTGGCATTGAAAGGATTTACTGGTTGAAGATGTATACAAGTAGTCCATACCATTGAAATGACTGGAAGAAATTAACTCAGGACTCTTAAACAAATTTTTCACTTATGTTTCAGATTGGACACTTTTTTCATTTCTATTTCATAGAAATATTAAGAACTAGTGGCCTGGTGAATGGATTCATGCACATTGAAAGGAAATTTATTAGAAGAAAGATTTGTGTGGTAATTACGTTACTGCAAAAAATTACATGTCAAAATAGTATATATGATATAGTATTATAAAATTGAGATACAAAATATTTTAATATCGCTATGCATCTTTTCTCTATAACAGAAGTGTCAGAGATGAAAAAAATTAGTAAAACGTATATGAAAATAATATATAAATTGATTAACAAAGCAACAATAACAACATAATATATAAACAACAAAGACATGATATAAAAATAACAAAGACAAGATAGAAAAACAACATTGATAAAAACAATGATTGATAAACTGATTAATAAATAAACAACGTCAAGATATAACAACAACAAAGACATGATATAAAAACAACTTTGATAAATTGATTAAACTTATTCTAATATCTCCCTGTACACCACATTTAGAGTAAAAACACAAATACCAATGGACTGTAGTTCTAATTTAGGGAGTCAAATGTTATATGCAGATTCTTCAAAGGGGGTTGACGTCCTCAACTATCCCCACCATTGTTCAAGGATCATCTGTATTTACAGATTAATGCAGGCACATGAATGAGAATTCTTAAGATGCAACCAAAATATGTATTAATCACAGCTGTTAGGTGTGATTAGCAATATACTACAAAGTATGAAAGGAAGATTGTAGTATTTTGTTCCACATATTAATGGTGCTAAAACTAAATTCTCTATCAGTCCTATCCCAAATTATTCTTACACAACTAGAAACAGCTTTCTTTCTCTGAAATATTTTTCCTCCATCTAAGTCATGCATATCAGAAAATCATTCTTCAGATTGATTATCCAGGTTGATGTTCAAAACTCCAAGTTGAAACTTTCAAGAGATGAGTGAAAAGGAAGGAATAAGCAATACCTACAGGAAGTTTTCTGAATCAATACCTGCAGAAGATCTCCAAATAGGTGTGCTAAGTGTTTGCACAGACAATATTGCTAGGTATTGCTAATTCAAATTCATTATTATTTTAAGTTGCATCTATCAAACAAGAAATCGTTATTGAGCCACGCTTTTGCATAGGCATTGTGTTTGAGTGTAGCTAGAAGCTAAGATAATGAGGTCCAAGCTCACATTTCATGACACCAGGGACGTAAATTCAACAAACCCATGGTTATACTCAAGATGTTACTAGTAAATGTAACATCTTTTAGTCATAAATGTAGACTGCTGCCTGTCTTCTACCCATGGTACTGTAAGATGTAACATAAATAAAGTTTTTGAACTAAAATTCTTAATAACTATTTTGCATTAATAAAATGACCCACTTTATGAAGATGTAGGGAAGCAGAATTTACCACCCTGAAATATCTCTCTTTGGCATAAGTATTATTTTAAGCTGTTTAATTTTTAAGAAACAGCAGACATAGGAAAAACTCTGGAAACCAAGTAGAAGTTACCCTCTGTAAAGGGCATTTATATTCATAATGGAAACCTCTGTTTATAAGGGTCTCCCTGGCTGTACCAGGAAGAATAGAATATCTAAATCTCTAGAAACTGTTATGAGCTGAGAAGGCATGAACTGAAATCTGCATGACAACCTTACCTTTGTTCACTGTGCTGTTTCTGATACTCTCCTGTAACTGACTTCCCACTCCCAACATCTTTTGTCTTCAGTTGGAGGTGGCTTTTAAGGGGATGACTTCATCCATATTGGTAAATTACTCAGTTTTGGTAGTTACTGGTCTCTCCCAAGTGTGGATGAAAAAGGGGCACTGTAATAATTCTAACTGAAAATAACCTCTCAGGGTGATCTGATCATTAATTCCTTTCTGGGCAGGTCATGGTGGGTAGCCATTCCCAGGCCTATAACAGGTTTATCTTCACCTTAAGCAAGGCCTGGCCATTGTTTCTGTACATCTAGGTTACACACCTTTGAAGGCCTTTTTTAGGCCTCTCAGAGGTGTCACCACTTCAGGAGAGCCCACAACCTTGGTAACTATCCAATAATCGAATCACAGTGATTTTCCTGGTTTCCTTTCTCCCAACTTTATGTAATCTTCCCTTCTCTCCGGCCCCTCCCCCTTAATTCCAAATATACAGGGTGGGGCAAAAGTAGATGTCCGTGTTTGCATGGAAAATAATACACTAACTAAAAAATAATAATACAAGAAAAAATTACAACTGTAAGCCTGCTTTTGCCCCGCCCTACATAAAAGAAACTGCAAAACTGTTATTCTCTGGAGCATTTGAGATCTTAACTTCCTAGCTTGTCATCAGTTTGGCTCCAATAAACTCAAATTTTTATAAAAATTCTCTACAGGTTTGGACACTCTTACATTGACAAATTATACAGGAGGTATACATATTATTAAATTTTGTTTTTCTCCTGTTAATCTGTCTCATATCAATTTGCTTATTAGACTAGCTAGCAGCTACTTAGAAGGCTAAGGAAAACTTTTCCTCCTGGCCAAAGATAAGGAAGTTGTCATACTAAATGACATACCAGAGTTATACAAACAATTGAGGATAACTTAGTCTTATACATTGAAATGTGTAGGCTTCCAGATATAAGTATCAATGTCTTTGAAAAATAGGACTGTAGTTTCATTTCTGGAATCAAAGAGCAAGACACAGGGGATTGCTCCTATTTTGGAGAGTCGCTCCTTGCAGACAGTGATGATAAACCCATGTAGGAGCCCCATAAAATACATTAGCTGCTTTCCAACACTTGGTGTCTTTGTTTCCTAAAAATGTGGAAACCAGCTGCAGGTTGGACAACGACTCTCCCAAGTACCTACTCGTATAAAAACGTATACCTCTTACTAAACTTAACCTTTATTGCTTCACCCTTCCTTGCCTGGAATAAAAGTGTGATTAATCTGTCTTTTGCTTGGAGTATGTATTTCTTCCTTTTGCTTATTAAGAGATATTATCCTGTATGCTATTGAATTTATTATAATTCCCACATTAAACTTGTGCTAAATAAATTGCTGGCAAAGACAACTCAGTTTCTGAGAATCACTTTTGCTGTCTCAAAACAAAATGTATTGAATACATTCAGCTTCTTGGATGGCTAAAACCATCTGTGGGAGATGGAGAATTTGTGGGGAGGGGAGCGTATAAACAAATTGGGAAGAGCCTAGAGAATAGTACACTTCACATGGTGACCAAAGCTCTGGGCATTTTTCCTATGTCCCTGTTCTCTTGTGAGGGCCCCATATCATCCCACTTAGCAAATCATCACCCTCTAGGTCTTTCTCCTTTGAATCCTCTCAGTGGGATCAGTGGGGTTCAGAAGACTGTTTCCTCTTTGGAGCCCAACACTTACTGGCTGTTCTTCTGGGAAGAGGTGGGTGAGGGAGTGCAGGGGCTCACCACCTCCTCCCCAACACAGTGCCTCTAAGTACCCTTTGATGCTGGTGGTCGTAGTCCAAGCATCCCATAAAGAGGCAGTGGTTAGCAGGGAATTTGGGGTTGGGTGAGGGAGGGTTGGAGTCTTAGGGTGGTGCTTAGAGGGTTATCTTGCCAGAAGGCAAACTCTGTTTGGGACATGGAGAGCAACTTTGGTGTATAAGAAGTTGATTCCTTTTAAGAAGGAAATGGGTAAGGGGTTAGGTCCTAGGGTCCCTAGGAAGGGAGGGACTACAGGGAGTGTGACCTCACTCATTCAGCTTCCTACTTACTCCAGGTGGAATATAATTCAAAACTGAACCCCACCCAGACTTCTTTCCTCAAGATCAGTAACCGTACTCCATGTCCAGCCTGACTCTTGACCCCCCTGTCCAGAGCTGTATATACTGAATCCTTGATTCAGCGTTTAGGCCTCCAGCGTTTAGTCCTTCCTGGAGCAAGTGGGTTGAATGCAGTAAAACAACCAACCAAACAAACAAAAAGAAAAAAAAAACACCCTGGCCAGCTTGGCTCAGTGGATAGAGCATCAGCCTTCGGAATGAAGGGTCCCAGGTTCGATTCCGACCAAGGGCACATGCCTGGTTTTGGGCTTGATCCCCAGTAGGGGGTGTGCAGGAGGCAGCTGATCAATGATTCTCTCTCATCATTGATGTTTCTATCTCTCTCTCCTTCTCCCTTCCTCTCTGAAATCAATAAATATATTTTTTAAAAAGAAGAAAAAAGACCAACCCCAAATTATTAACTGCCTAAAGTGGGAAAGCAGGAAAGAGAGATCCTTTCTATCTCCTGGCTAGCTCACTTTATTCATGTGTGTATCACTTTTTCTGGGGGTTCTCTCCTGAATAGATGGCCGACTCCGGAGGTCAGCCGCAGCTGACTCAAGTGAGTATCCCCAGCCATCCAGGGAGGGGATATTAGTTTCACTGAACAATATATACCGATTGCCACACATCCCATCCCCAAACTGCCTTGGCCTTGGGCTCCCACTCAGTTCATAACCTCACATCACTATCTCCCTCTCATCACTGTCCACCATTCCTCATCTTACTTCCTCAGCCAGGCAAGCTGACCGAGGCCTTCAAGTACTTCCTGCAAGGCATGGGCTACAGTGAGTATGGGGGTCAGAGGCTATCATGAGGACAAGCGATTGCTGCAAGGATGAGGGATGGCCACTGAGAGGAGGAACCATTTAGGCTAATTCCTGGACTTACCACCATCTGCCAAATCAAGCTCATTGACCCCTGGTCCCATTTTTAACTCTCACAACCATGCTGAGTTGCCAGCCCCTCTTCCCCTACTCCTCTCTGACTGCCTGCTTATCCTTCTGTCTCCACAGTGGCCTCATCCTGCATGACTCGCCTGTCCCGATCTCGCACAGCTTCCCTGACCAGTGCAGCATCCATGGATGGCAGCCGGTCCTGCGCTTGAACCTTGTCCCAGAGCAGCGAGTCTGGGGCTCTCCTTTAGAGCCCCAGGGCACACTATGGAGGTCTCCCGTTGAATGGTCCTTATTGCCCTGGTGTGGGACCCAGCCCTCACCTCCCCCAGCACTAACCTGGGAGATGCATACAACACTGGGCCAAAATGAGCAAGGGAAGATGGGCAGATCATGTGAGGAGATGACTTTGATCTTTGATCACTACCCTAACCTTGCCCTCTAACCTGTGAAACCCCTCAGCTCCTGGGAGAGCTGTCTCAATATCTGTTAGGTACTCAGACCCCTAAATGATCCTTCTGCCTCATTCTCTTGTTAAGGTGGAGAGGGCATGTGCCCCCCTCTCCCTAATCTAGGTGTTCATGGATGAGGGATAAGTGGTCATTATAGATGTCCATGGTGCCTGCCCCAGACTCTCCCTACTCATCCCATTGCAAGGGTAAGGCACTTGGTGCTGGGTCTCTATTCACCAAAGCAGATATGGCTTCTCATGAACCCTTCAAATCTCTGAAGGAGATGGGCCTAAATAAATGTGTCAGGGAGGCTTGCTGGTGGGTTAGTGGTCCTCAGGATGTGATGGAAATATCCGGTGTGTGAATGGAAGTTGGACTGGGAGGTGGTAGTCAATGAACAAGTTTGAGGGAAGAATTGGAGCTGGGCAACAGGAAGGGGCCTGGGGCTATTGGCTCCACTAACTTTGTAGCAGTCTAGATAGTGTTTCTAGAGTGGGTGGGGGAGGGGGCCAAGCCAGGGTAGGACTGCTTGGGGCTTGGCATAGGGGTGGGAATGGTTACCTTGGGGCTCTGACCACAGTGTGTTATGTGTGGAGGGTGCTCTCCTGTCTCCCACAACTTCTGCTGTAACAATAAACTGTAGAGGAATCTGAGCACTATTATTCTGTCTCAGTATGCCTGCATCATGCCCCTTTCCTACCCCATCCCTGCCCAACTCACATTCTCTTCTCCAAGTGACACAAACCATGGGAGGGGGCTTGCATAGCATAGACACTTCACAAAATGTGACTTCACAGTCACCGGCCCTTATACAATGGAATGGACAATGGTATTGTCCTTGATATTGATAATATCTTCACATTTCAGGAGGGGCTACTTAGATCTTAGAAGACTTCCTTCTCAGTTATTGAGAAATGCCATGGGATTTCAGAGATGTCACCAACATCATAATCTTTTAAAAAATATATATTTCTATTGATTTCAGAGAGGGAGAGAGAAAAACATCAATGATGTGAAAGAATCATTGATTGGCTGCCTTCTGCACGCCCCCTATTGGGGATTCAAGCCCACAACCCAGGCATGTGCCCTAACTGGGAATCAAACCATGACCTTCTGGTTCATAGGTCGACATTCAATTAGGAGTCACACCAACAGGGCAACCAACATTATAATCTTAAAGGAGGAGGTACAGAAAACTGACTGACATGCCCAAAGGCATCTTGTGACCACCTTCCTGCAGGATCCTCTATGGGGTCACCTAGATTCCATTTTAGGGGGTTCAATATGATCAGCAGACCACACCTCATGCAGCTTCTAAAGGGGTTATTGGGTTGCTCAGTTGATCCCAATCTGAAGACTCCTTCAGGTGAGTCACAGCAACCAGGAATTCCTCCTCCCACATAAATCCAAGTTTGGGCAGTTAATTAGACTATATCTGTGGTTCTTTGAAAACCTTCTCAACAATTATGAACAATAATTATCAAGAGAACTTCAGGTATTTTGTGGCTGCTGCAGGATGATCCTTGGGCTCTAGGGGCACAAGAAGTAAAATTGAGACGCACTTTATAGTATTATTGTCCAGAGTACTGTGGATGGAATAGTACAAGGTCATTTGC